TCAAATTTATCTGGACCCTTAGTCCATTTGTAACTTTCTAAAATCAAAGTTTTAATCACCCCTTTGCTGTTTATTCCAAAAAAATTTTTAAATGCTTAAACTTGTAGTTAAAACTTTCTTTTGCTAAGGATTGAAGTTAACTCACCTGGTGCTATTAAACTTGTCAATCCAAAGGTTTCTCATAGCTGAAAAGCAGTTAACAAGCAATTTCCAAAAGTGATTAGAAAAGGAAGTATGCGAACTTAGTGTCCTTTCAAAGGTGCTGACTGCAGTTTGAGCAAGATGGCTATTCCCTTGCCTTCCAGAGCTCTAAACCCTCCAGAGACCACTATCTTGTGGTCCCCTCACAAGGAGAGCTGTCTGGAGCACTTGCAGAGTGACTTCTCCCCTTACCTAATTGCTGTCTGTCTGTCTGTCTATCTATTTTCTATCCATCTATTTATGCAAACAGCCAGATAAATATATACAGTGCGTATGAAAACATGGGGTGAAGGCAAGCAATTTATTTTCTTTACTGTTTATGTGACATGGGCATGAGAGCTCTTTTGTTATTTCCAAGGCTGTGGCAGTCAACGGGGTGGAGTATGGTTTGAATTCCATTTTTCAAATTGTCCTATTGGTCAGGCTGTTCTGATGCAAGCAAAAATTAAAATTGTATAAGGTTGGCTTCTGAGGCTGGTTTACGACAGACAGATAGTGGGAAAAAAGTGAAACCTCTACTATGTGAATGTGCCCATAATATTATTGCAACTTTGCCTCTTTGCCAGGAACTCTGCAACACTCAAGCTGTTTACTCAGTTGCACCTCCCTGTTTTCCTTTTCTTAAAGGCTGCATTTCCTTAATTGCAAACTTTATATCTCAGAAGCTCTAATCTGTTTCTGTTGCTTTCTTATGTATTTTATAGAAAGTCTCCTCTCTCAAACTAAACAGTCAGTGATTTGCATTTGGCTTCAATGTTTAACATGTTACGATAGTATTAACAGCCTGATGTCTAAATGAAAAAGTGCCAAGGGCCTGTCTTCCAATAGAAATGCTACTCTCTAAGGTACCTTTCACCTGTATTTCTGAAAGCATTCATGTTTCAGAAGGACTTACTATTTGAACAGATAGAAGATAGGAAAGAATTTAAAGAGGAAATATGTACAGTAATTTATTTTTTTGCTTGTTTTAGATACCCTTTTACAAATCAGGAACATTTCAAGCTTATATAGAGAAACATGGAGCTACAGTAAGTGATGAAAATTATTTTTCTGGTTGTTTATTTATGCATATAAAAACATCCCAAACTTTCCTATACAGTTTAGCTTAACTACTGCAGGGACTTTGTTATACAAGGAGTGTGCTGTATATTAGTTATGTGTGTGGTTTGCAATGAAGTTAGCTTTTTCTAATATAGATGTGTCAGTTTGGGGGGAAGGATAACAATAAAAAAAGGAGTGGGGAACCTCTGGAAAGCAAACATTACCATTCTCATCCTTAAATCCATTCCCAAGTTCTTAAAAATGGCCTGAAATCATGCTGCTGAAAATTGTCCATTATGCTGGTAATTTTGGCACTGCAATCTTGGGGGATGGGGGGGGGTTGCAAATGAAGTGCTAGAGATACTGCATGTGGCCCACAACCATGGATTATCCAGTCCTGAACTATAGGATTAAAATGCACCTTTCTTTTCAAGCCATGTTAATAAGCTATTTTAGATATTTTCAGAGAGACAAAGTAGTAAGAATATTGTTGAGCAGCTATAGCTGAGTCAAACTTTGCAGAGAACTTTTACTATTCTATGCAGTCAAGTTGATCTATGCACAAGAATATCCACAATAAACTAAAAAACAGTTCTTACTCCATACAGTCCATAGATTGGTTGACCATGATGGTTTTACTGGAAATTTGGTGACATAGTCAATTCAGTGGAAATTTTATGCTTCCAAACTAAAATAATTGTTAATGAGCAGGATGTCAAGGCCTAATGGACAAATCAGAAAATAATAATGTATATCAATAGAAGAGAATATATGTAGCTCAGTGTTGAACTGTGGAGTCGTGTGC